AAATTTAGGAAAAAAATTGAAAAAAATCCTGGTTACTTCTTTGACCTTCAAAATTAACTTTGAAGGGGGGGGGTAGCAGGTTATTATTAACTTTTTCAGCTAAAATGCGAGGTCAATTTTAAAGGAAAAATCCCCGGAGCGAAAAGGTTAAAATAAGAAACTCTTCTTGGCGCCTATTTTAGTATAAAATATACTTAAAGTAAGTGGGATATCCTCAAAATAAGAATACAATTTTTTCGATGTAGCGTTGAACTTTGAAAATCTTAAATCTTTTGACTTTTATCTTAACATCACGTCAAGTAATTGTTTAACTAATTTGTGTTCTGTTACTCACCCATACTCAGCTAATCGATTTACTTTCACGAATAATACGATCACCAAAGTGAAAAGTATTACAAGTGCACCGGCAGTGATACCGCATGCGATATAGAAATATAGCATCAAATTTTCTTCAACAGTCACCTTGAAAAAAAAAAAAAAAAGAAGTTTGAAATAACAAATTGTTGTAAGATCCAAATCCAAGAACTCAAAAAAAAATATTTATATTGTGGTATACATATACAATGTAAAAAACATATAAAACTCGAAATTTAGTTCTTCGCTAATTAATAAGGACCTTTTGAAGAAAGAGACGAATGTTCTACTTTTGTTCGTCTTATCGTAATTATCAGTTTACCGGCGACTTGCTTTGCGATTACGGCGCGAACGTGCATTACTTAAGACAACAAAGAGGAAGTTTGTTTAATTAAGAAACATCACACAACGCGTGTGTTAACACGCGCATCAGTTCTAAAAGGTAAAATAAACACGAAAGAACGCGGAAGGAATTATTGCAAATAAATTTGATCGCGATATCTGCGCGATTTCTTGAAAACAATTTTTTTCTCTTATAAACTGCACTTAATTCCAATATCACGAGAATAAAACAGCGTCACAAGAACGGGCGGATTAAAAACACCTTTGTCGACTCGTCACAAACGGTTATCGATACCGATTGTGTTTCCAATCAGAATTTATCTCACGAATGTCTATCTCCTACATTTCCGTTGTTTGCATCCGACCTTGCGCGTAGTTGCATTTCTAATAAAGAGGTCTGCGAACGGACGTGATCAATTATGACGCAAGGATCTATTAAAATCTGCAAATACTTTGTTAATCGAGAGAAACAACAAGAAATGAGAAAAACAAGATATAATCGCTCGTATCTTGAGCTTTGAACTATTTTTCAAACTGCGTTTTCTCATGTAGACAAGTAACATTCTTGTTATTTTTTTTTTCTAAGAGCAATCGCAGCTGTATCAGCCATTAAAAAACGTTTGTTCAGCGATATAAAATCATTAAGAGCTATTTAAATACTAGATAACGTGTGCCAGTATTCGTTTCGATTATACTGAAATTCTAACAGACTGGAAAGAAAATAAGTTATAAGTTAAGATCTACAGTTTGTTTATAATTTATATAAATACATTGTATAAGAGAGTAAAATAAATATCAGAATTGTGTTTCGCGAGCCGCTTAATAATTAGTCACATATATTCATTAAGATATATTATGCTATGTAATATATATACACATACATATAAAATGTATATAATATATATATATATATATATATATATATATATATAT